TTTTTTTTTTTTTTTTTTTTGCAGCTGATCAAAGAGAAGCTATTAGACCTGCTTGGCAAAGAGGAGGATGAAGGGAGCCATGATGAGAACGTGGTAAGGGCAATTCCAGGGTCAGTCCCACAGTCCAAGGACACTCCAACCAAACCTCACTCCAAGGGCCAATGGGTGAGCCACGGATGCAGCTGATCCCAGGAGGGTCCTACTGGCCCAGTTCAGCTTCTCCCAGGCCATCATCTCACAGCCTGAGTAGAGCAAGAGAGGCTCTCATAGGTCTACTTCCTTACTCTCTAGGGGTGGCCAAATCTAAGCAGAGTACTGCCAGCACTTGAAGGGGACCCAGAGCATGGGGCTCTGTGAAGGTGGTAGTAGCAATAATGCCCATGGTACATTGCTGGGCACTGTCCTGCGTGCTTGTGTGGACCAAGTTATTGCAGCCACACTGTCACTCTACAGTAAGGTCTGTCTTTATCTTCTTTTTGTATCTGAGGCCACTGCGGCCCAGAGGTCAATGTCACACAGCTTTTGAGCATCAGAGCTGCAATCTAGGCATCTCTTACCACTGCCCTACTTTGCTTCTTTCCTTTTGCCAGAGAGGCACCACCTGTTATGGTTGTCCATCATTCTCCTCCCAAACTCAGTCTACTCCTGGCTCAGGTCTTGGCTGACCAGTGCAGGTATTACCAACTTTCCCCTCCCAGTGGGGGGACCCCAAATTGGCACCTAGGACACCTCCATTGAGTGGCTGTTACCCCCCAACTCAACCAATCATGAATGGCCCAGCCCTTCTGCTGTATGGCCTCCTATTTCTGTTCGAGATGCTGTCCCTACCTATCTCTCGAGCTAAAAATCTTGCTTTGATCTCTCAGCTCCAACACCTTCTGCAGGAAGACAGAAGGCAACCTCCGGGGAAAGAGAGGGCAGTGTAGAGAGTGCTCTGACTTTGGGCTGGATCCCAGGTTTCCCTATTCCTAGCTATGCACCCGGGAGGGGCGCAAGTTACCGAACCTCCCTGAGCATCTGCATCAGATCACAGGGTCTCAGAGGTTTGTCATGGGGATTAAGAGACGATGCTGAAAAATGGATCAGCACAGTATCTAGATAACAGTAAGTGCTCAGCAACTGGTGGCTACCTCCTTACCCTCACTTCCCCTCCTTCTTTCAAATTGTCTCAGAGTTACGGCCTCCCCTCCACCCTGCTTCTCCTCCTCCACCTATGCACATCATATATCCCCCAATTCCTGGCAGAGCCTCCAGGGAATCTCCCTGCTCCCATCTCTTACCGCCTCCTGCCCGCTGCAGCCTGGAGCCAACTAAACACTTAGAGCCATACCAGCTTCCGTTTGCTCCGAGAGTCACAGCTGCTCCTCCCTGTGGCCCTCACCCTAAATGTCTGATCAGCTCTGGTGCTGACCTGTAGATGAATTTTTGACCTTGCAATGAATTTTTGCTGAATGAATGATAGACACCCACCTTCCCTTCCCCTGCAGAGTACTTGTGACACGATGCCAAACCACTCTGAAACCATCAGCCACACTGTGAATGTGCCCCTGCAGACGGCCTTGGGCACCTTGGAGGAGATTGCCTGCTGACACCCCTCGGGCCACCCAGCACCCTCCAACAGACCTTAAGGCCCAAGATCCAGGACAGGGGACAGCAAGCTCAGGTGGGATGGCCCCTGATGATGGAAAGAAGCAAGAGCCCCCTATGCACACATTGCAGACTTCTACCAAACCTCGCTCCGGCCACGTCTCACGTGAAGCGTCCCTGGGCCCCACCGTGCGTCCCTCGTAGGAGAGATGAGTCACACTCTGGAACTGTCCCAGAACCAACCTGCCATCACATCTCACTGCCAGATGTATAAAGCACCTGCATGCTCAGACTTCTTACAGCACCACTCTCCGTCTGTCTTGTACATGACATTCCTCCGTGTGGTTTCCAGCGCCCACTTGGGCCTGTGCAGTGGGACCAGATTCCCAGCTGGTCCGTGAGGGCAGGCTGGAGTCAGCGCTGCGCAGTCAAGAGGGAAATCGCAGAACTCTACTACTGTGGATCCTTGTGTCGTTTGTGAAGGTTCTTCACCTGCCCGCAAACCCCTTTCCCACTGAAACGGCCCATGGGGATCTGGCACTGAAGGTGAACAACACCAAACTCCCCACGACCGACCCCACAGCCTGTGGAGGTGACACAGTGGCCTGGGTGACCCCGGTCTCCATCCATGGAGCTACGTCATTCTTCTCTCCCTGTGACACAGCTTGTACAGTCTGATTCTTTTTAATTTGGGGGACTTTGGTTTGTCTGTCGGAGATTTGTTTTGTTCTGCTCTGTTTTATGGTTTTTGTTTTGATGTTCTGAGGTTTGGTTTGGTTTTTTCCCATTTTCTTTGGAGTTTATTTATTCCTGCTTCAAATCACAGTCATATTAAAAGCTGGTCTTGTGGAAATGACTGCGTCATTTCTGCCTTTTCTCCACATCCTGGTCTCCATCCCTGAGGGCTCAGAAAAAAGCTAGACCTGCTAGACCAAACCTGCTGCTGTGTAGCCAATGTTTCATGCAATAGCACCTCCCTCCACAAAACATCTACACTCTATATTAACTCTTAGTACTCTTATGAAAATGGTTGATCACAACTTTGTCAATGACTGCATGACCCACTAACAGATTACAGCCATGTCCTGCAGGATGCTTCCCAGACCACGTGGCGCGAAGAAGAGGCAGGCTACCCACTCCTGAAAACCATCAAGAGGCCTCTGAGGCCCGAGGGAGGCCCTCTGTCTGTGACACTGACTCTAACCAGCCCTCTCTGTGAGTTGGGCTTCCTCCCAGGCTATAGTCCACCTGACCTCCTCTTCTCCACACACCTCCTCTCCCCCAGCAAAGCAACTTGCCTTGTCCCTCCAGAAGGCACCTTGTCACCTTGCTCACCATGTTCCTGAGAGGGTGTTCAGGTAGCCAGGAGGTTGGGAAGTGCCTCTCCAGGACACAGGGGCCAGGACCTTTTAAGCTTCTTGGTAGTAAGTGAGAGCTTCCTATTTAGGTGCAGTTCTTGTCCTCCTGACACCATGCTAGTCCCACAACAACAGTCCCCTGAGCTTACCTTTTGGTTCTCCCCACCAACTCAACCACTGCCAACCAGGCTCTCCCAAAAACAGTGAAGAAAAGCTTACAGTGGCTGGTGGCTTCCCTTCATACACACATGCACAGAAAGCACTGGCCAGACTAAGTCAGGGTTCTGGTCCTCTACACCATCCTCTTGTTTCCTTCCTCTTTCTCTTCCTCCTCCTCATCCCTCTCTTCTTCTTCTTGACCTTCTCTTCCTCTCTTCCTCTCTTCCTCCTCCTCCTCCACTTCTTCCCTTTCTCCTTCTCCCCTTGCCTCTCCTAATGACCCACTAACACAAAGAAAAGTTGTTGCTACAATTTCCAGTACGGTTCCCCATGATTCCTTCCCCAAGCCCTCTCAGCTGGGGTTGATTCAGCTGTTAGCAAAGCTAGGCTTTCACTCTTAGAGTGCGAAGTATCTAGCAGAGGCTCTGTGTTGCTTTCTATCACTGGGGTAGCAAATTGCCACTTTGTGGTTTGAGACAGCACAGATGCATTGTCTTACTATTCCACAGGTGAGATGTCTGACGCAAGTCTCGCTGGGCTAAAATCTAGGTGTCCACAAAACCACGGTGCTTTCTGGGGGCTCCAAGGGAAAATCCACTTCCTTCCTTTTTCGAGCTTCTGGAACCCTCGCACGTTCCAAAACCAAGGCCTCTTCCTGCCTCTTCAAAGCTACCATGACAAGTTGAGTCCTTCTTGCATCACTTACTCTGACCGCCCATTACCCTATCTCCTTCTAAGTCTGACTTCTCCCTCGTCCCTCCTCCACTGGGACTCCACCTGGTGACCATATTGGGTTTGGCAGACAATCCAGGATAATTTCTCTCTCTCTCTCTGCTAGGTTAATTTATCGCATGTTCAGAGATCCATCTACCATGTAAGGTTGCCTAGGCACAGGTTCCAGGGATTGGGAGGTGGGCATCTTTAGGGATCCCTATCCTTCCTACCATGGGGCTTTTGGACCACATAGCCTAATGCCCTAAGTTTCTAAGAAAGGAGGCAGAAACTGGCCCAGTGTCCCCCAATACAATAGCCATGCACTAGACTCTTAAATTCCGAGGCTCCTGATTCCATTTGTTAACCTACCAAGAGAACTCACAAAAAAGGCATGTCTGAAAGAGCTCATTCTTCCAGATTTTGCCAGAGCATGGGAGTCCCCCTCCAGACACAAAATCACCCCTCAGAAGGACAGGGACCTAAAGGGTGCCCTCAGACTGCTCCTATCAGGGACAGGAAGCAAATGAAATGTCTGTTCAAATAGTTGGTAGTCAATTGGATGCTTCTGCCTTGTTTCAGTTTAATAGCTTCGTAAATTTTTAAAAATCTATAGCTTAAGTTGCAATTTGAACTGCTTCATTGGATTTCTGGCTTCCTTTCAGGAAACAACAAAAAAAGGGAGATCAATTTGTGATGGAGAAAAGAATATATGAACATATTGGGATTGCTTTGGGCCCTGCATATCTATGCACCCCTCCTGATTTGGGAATCTTGGCTTTCTTCAGCTTTGAGCAGTCTTATATACTTACCTTGTCTAAAGGTATATATATGAAATTCAAATTCAAAAGAGCATGTCAATAGCAAACTTCTGATCACTAATTGGTTGTTAACAGAAGATACAACATAAATTCCAGTGAGTGGTCAGGTGTTTTTTATTATACTGTCAAACTCTGTGTGGAATCATTTCTTCAGTGAAGACACAGAGAGATTGGGTGGACAGAGGAGACTCAATATGTCACATTTTCAGACGTGATCCAAGTGATGACACAAAAGTTGGAAGGTGGATGTAATCACAAGTCCAACCACAAGGCTGGCTTCCCTGTGGCCTCAGAGGGTCAGCTAAAGTACTGAATGGCACACGACGTCAGACAGGGAATCTGTGAGACTGGCAAGGGAAAGGAATGAGCCCTCCTGTGATGCCCATGCTGGAGAGAGCTGGCTGCTTACAGGCTGCTGCTTTGTTGTTTTTAGCAAAGAGGCACCAGAATTATTTTATTTTCCTCCTTCCAGCTCTGAAGCTATTTTTGTGACAGTTTTAACCATGAGCAAGCCTAGCGAAAAGTTGATGGAGCCACCAGCACAGAGGATAGGGAGACTACAGGTCCCAAAGGGTCTCTGCAGACAGGATCCTGGCAAGAATCATGAGAGCTGTTGAGAGGCATGGGGCAGTCAGAGGCCACCCATCCATGGGCAGGAGCCTGTTACGTAGTGTGCTCAGCAGCCCAAGGGGAAACCTAGTTCCTGCTTTCTCCACAGCCTCAGAGATTTTGACTTGATTACTCTGTCCACACGGAAGGGCTCTATAAGGTCCCATCAGTGAGCTCCCTGTGACAGAGAGCAAGGGATTTGCTTCTGCAGGGGAAGCTCAACCAGCCCTGATCTACACAGAGCCAAGGCAGATGCCATGCTGCACAGAAAAAGCTTCCTGGCAGAGGGAGGAAGGGAACAGGAGGACCCAAGGAGGGAGCTCCAATCATTCAACTTGACTGTTAGATGCCAGGCATTTGGCCTCATGGGATTCATAAACTGAATTGACTATGAAAGACATGATCAGCTCTCCGTTGAAAAAGCATGAAAGAGAGGTACATGCAAGGCCTGAGGGGCTGGAGAAGGGCCTGGACATAGGTCCCAGGGAGCCCTAGCAAAGAGGCAAGAGGAGAAAATGTCCTTATGATCACTGAAGAATGCACAGGTGTTGAAGCGAAGGGCTTGGTCATCATTCTGAGAGGGCCTCATGCCCACTATCCTTCAAGCTCCTCCTCCCTCTACCCTCAAAAGTTTGTGAAAACATTTCCCAAGCCAAAGCTTAATTTTTTGAGCTAATGACTCTGTCCCCTCTTGTTCAAAATTCTTGCCCCTCAGTACATAGAATCTTTTCATGCAGGTGTTTATCCCTTGCTAAAGCTACCAGGTTGAGCATGGGGCAAGGGGGCATGAACCTGGATAAGACCCAACCTTGTCTGGGAACAGGTGGAGGAGGAGAATCTCCTGCTAAGTCAGTTTTGCATTTGATGAATCCCATGCTTGTTTTTAAAAGCAAAACAATAGGTTGACAAGTGTTTTGGACAGAGTATCAAAAGACTGAGTTTCTAACCTATTCCTGCTATAAACTGACCACATGACTTTTGACAGTTCATTTCTGCAGGCCTCCATTTCCTTTGTATCAAAGGAGAGGAGTGGAAAGGGGACAGATAGTCCTACTGGTGTGTGATTCCCCCCTCTTAACTGTCTATGAGACTGTTAACAGGTGCCCAGAGCCCATCTGGAACCTGTGAAGATCCTCCGGTGCCAGCCAAAGTCTCCTTGGTCTAGAAAATGTTAAACAGTCCTCCAAAAGAACCTGCCAGTACCACCAAAAAAAAAAAAAAAAAAAAAAAAAAAAAAAAAAAAAAAAGTCGTCTCCAAAAATGACATAATGGGAGGAAGAAAAATCCAAAAAAAACAGGCCCGGGATTTGGCTCAGTGATTCCACCGCCTGCCTCAAAAGCCCAAAGGCCCAAGTTTGATCCCTGGTACAAAAAAAAAAAAAAAAAAAAAAAAAATGACATAATGACTGTCATTTTTCAATTTGCAAGAAGAGGGAAAAAAGAAAAGATAAGATTCGATCAATTTTGAGGGATTTTTTTTTCCTCCCTTAATTTTTTTAAACCTTTGGCAGCCTCTGTTTCCCCACCTGCAGCAGCTTTTGAGCTAGCGCCTCCTCACAGATGGCAAAGTGAATGAACAAGCAGAAAATGAATCTGAACAGAAAAACTTGGAATGTAATTTCATGAAATTATTTTATGCACGTGGAGGTCTTTGAGGGCTGGGAGACCTGTGTACATCAGAAGGAACCGTGGCATCCCATTTGCAGAGATTCCCTCTGGCCTAGTTTTTCAAGGCCATGACCACTGCAGTCAGAACAGCCACGAAACACGTGCCCAATGCTCTCTCACTTCTGCTGAGCCCTGGGCGAGCCCTGCTGCTGCGTCTTGTTCATTTCTAAGCAGGACTGAAATGGCGGCTTTCCATTTGTTTTTGTTTTTGTTTTTGTTTAATCCTGATAATGGTTATGAGTTAGACTTGAGGAGCGGGTATTTGGATGCCTTGCCTCTCTGAATCTGTTCTGTATGTTATGCTCATTCGGCCAATTTACCACTTTTATGGACCATTTATCTTTAATGTAATTCAGACTTCCGTGGCTCCTTTTCAAAAGGAATTTTATGGAACTTAAAATAGGCCTAATACAAAGTGACTGATAGGTGGGCACCAACACCCAGCTCTACCAGTCTTAGAAGGAAGAGACAGGAAGACACAATGGGATGAGGGCTGGGATCTGCACCTTGAGCCAGTCGTTCTGAGAATTTTCTGCACATCTTCTGTGTACTGGGCACTGGGCCAGACACTCGGAGGTTGTCTGTCATGAAGCTCAGACTCCAGCTGGGCAGAGGCTCTGAGAATTCATGTACTGGACAGCAATGGAGGCTGGGATGTGCTGAAGAGAAAGCACAGCCTTTGCAGCCCGACAGCCCCATCCAAATCCCGGCCACTTCAATTGTGACATCTCGGGCAAGCTCTAGAACAGTGATGGCGAAACTTGCAGAAACCAAGTGCCCACATTGCAACTCAGAACGCACTTATTTGTCCTGAAGTGCCAACACCACAATTAAACCTGAATACTGAGGTTTTAGTTTAGAAAAAAAAAAAAAGCCGTTATCTGAAGCTCGGCTGCTGGGGCAACTTGGCTCGTGTGCTGACAGAGAGGGTTCTGCATGCCACAGGTTCGCCACTACTGCTCTAGAACTTCTCTGAAGGGCAGTTTTCTACTAAAAGTGGAGATGACCATCTGCCTCCTCCATTTGCTGCAAAGGTAGTCCGATTCACTGAGAAAGTGTCACTGCAACACCTGACCCGTGGAAGGTCACAGATGATAAAGAGGCTCCCTTCCATGTGCCAACTTCATCAAGAGAGGCTGCTGTTGGAGGGTTGGGAAGGGTTTCTGGAACATTCTGGCTCAGTAAGATAGAAGCCTATACTCACTTTGCAATGTCTGGCACAGGGGTAAGAAGTGGTGGCACATCTGCCACCCACAGAGTCCGGGGAATGCTGGACTGCATCTGACCGGGCCAGCTTCCACAGTCTGGAAGCTTCGGGCCAGTGCTCAGAGTGGGAAAAATCAACCATATGCAGCTGAAGCCACATACCCCACAGGAAGCACAATGAGACCCCACCCAGGAAGGATGTCGGCAAAGCCTCCCTCAGCCACCAAAATCAGCCCCTCCTTCACCTACATGTGCAGGAAGAGAAAGACAGCACCTGAGTAGCTAGCCAACCCCAGAGCAAAAGATACAGAAAAACCCATTTCAAATCCGTCTCCTGGAGCCAAACCAGTCCAAGAATGGGGAGCTTGACAAAGCTGACTCAACTCACTTGCTTCTTCCCACTTTCCGTAGCAATCTCTGCCACTCTATCCACAACTATCCCCTTTCTCCCCCTTCTCCTTCTTCCTCCTTCTGAGCCAACAATGAGGAGGACACAGTGCAGGTCTCCCAAGAAAGTCCTGGTCACTGGGGCAGGTGACACCTGCATCCATCCATCCCTCTGAGGCTAGGTGGGTAGAGCTGGGCATCCCAGAGCTTGAGGAAAGCAGACAGGGAGCCTGCTCTGTACATTACTGACAGACACCATGCAGCTGACAGGAGGGTGTGAGGTGAACTTCATTAGCAACTCTTGCCCAGGTGAAATGCTGAGCTCCAGAGGGAGGAGTGACATTCCCAAGATCAGGCTGCTAGGATCTGGGAGAAAACCCCACTTCTCTAGCTCTGCCTGAACTGAGAGGTGAGGGTCACTTGTGTGAATGGAGAGCAGCCAGGGTGGTCCCCCTGAAAGGCAGAGGATCTCCCCAAGAGGATTCAGGAGGGACAGTCTGTCCACCTGCAGGGTATGGCCTGGCACATAGTAGTTCTTAAGCAATGCCACTGAATGAACTGTTACACATTAAAGGGTATCATGACCCATTCATTAACTGGCCCTACAAACATTATCGGAGTGCCTACCATTTGTTCACTCACACATTAATTGTACGCTCAACAGATTCATGCCTTTATTGAGTACTATGTGCCAGTCACTATTCTAGGTGCTGGGGAGAGAAGGAAGACACGAATTTCCTGATCTCATGGTACTAACAATCTAATGTTTGGAGACCAAAGAAAGGATGCACATAAATTCAGATAAGCATGAAATCATTTCAGACAGTGGTACGTGCTATGGTGGTCAGAGTCATTCTGAAGAGGTAAAAAAATTGAAGTAAAATCTGACCAAAGGAAAATAAATAGCCACTCAAAGTTCTGAAGAAGTGATGTTCCAGAAAGGCAAGAGCAGGTGCAAAGGTCTTGCAATACAATTAGCTTGTTCATCCAAAGGACAGGGTTTATGAGCTGCGGTTAATGAATGAGGGACGGATGGTAACAATGGAAGAAGGTATGGAGCAGCACGCTACTCTCAACGACCTACTTGCTACAGTACACACCAGCTAAGCAAATGTATCTGCACAGGTGGAGGATAAATCTATAGTGGTCAGCTAAGCCTTGGCCATGGCAAACCTTGTATACCAAGACAAAGAACTTGAACTTCAACCTGAAGGTGAAAAAAGCTACCAAGGTCAGGATGAGGCAAGCATAAGAAAGAGAGAGACAGTGCTTGCTTTGGCAGCATGAATGCAAACTTAAGAGAGAGAGAGAGAGAGACAGCTCATTCTAAGGGAGAAAAGGGTAATGGCAAGGGACAAGGTTAGAGGGAGGGACACTCACAGGAAGCCACTGTTGTCCCAGAGAGGAAGTGAAGAGAGCTTGACTTAAAGCAACTTGTGTGGGGGTAGGAAGGAGGAACAGTTTCCAGAGATATTGAGAAGGTAAAATAGGCAGGACCTTAATGATTGAATTCGGGTTGAGAGAGTGATACATAAACAAGGAGGCACCAGGACAAATCCTGGTCACCCTAACCAAACCAACATCTCTCTTAGGAATGAGGCTCTGAGCCTAGCACAATCTGGCTTCCAGTTCCTGGTGGGCCTGTTCAGTGTTTAACCCCCACCCCAGGTGGGGCCTCCCTGGTTTGGCCTTGGCCTCCAAGGCACGTTCCCCTGGAGACTCCTTCTCCATCTCCCCCTGCTCCTACTCAATCCCTCAGCCCAGGCCTCCAGGGTCCCATGGCCGGGCCTGACCCTTCCCGGGGGCCACCTTGCAGAGCCTGAGACCATCATGCCAGCCCAGGGCCTCCTTTTATCAGCTCTCCCTTTGGGCCTAAAAGCCTCAACTCTCCTCTCCTGGGCTCCTTTCCGGGACATGATGAATGGAACCCAGTGAGGTCATCAAGCACCACAGGCCCAGATGTCTGCACATGAAGCAGAAAGCATGAATCACTGAAAGACGGATGGGCCCTGGGTCTCTGCCTGGGGGACCCACAGCAGCAATCCCTTAAGAAGCACAGTGGCAGAGGGCACACGGGGAGTCATACTGACCCAGGTGCAGATGTCTCCCCTCCACATCTCTAGAACAGGGAAAGTAAAGGCACCTCTATCATAGTTACTGCTCTAGGATCTAAGTTAGAGATAACATGGCACATAGTAGGCACTTGTGTTTGCTTTCACATTAGAGCGACAGCAGTCACCCCTTACCTGTGTGTAATGATTAGTCATTGATGCCCCTTCTCTTACCAAGATCCTCCACTCCCGCTCACATGTACGAGCAGCTTCCACATTTTGTCATCCCCTTGTCCAGAACACCAATGCTCTGTGCTGGGTCATCCCTCTGGTGGCATTCAGAGATCACAAGTCAGTTGTGAGGCCAGGTGTGATGGATGACATGGTAGTGTCTTCCCCAGCAGTTATCAGCCATGGCTCAACCAACAGTTCTGTATGTACAGTAGGGTTCTGTGCAGCCTTTCCAGAAAAACCCACCACCCAAACTCAGGACTCAGCCTTCTCACACATCACCTCGTCACCATGGTGACTGCTTTTGCCCCCACACCCACTGTAGCTGACCCTGAGACGCTGCCCACCTTCCTCCTTCAGACAGAGGTGTACAGAGGCACAGGGCTACCTGTCAGTGAGGGACAGCACTGCCTTCTTCCATGTTTCCCACATACCAAGAGAGACAGCCAACTGTACTAGCTGTGCATTCTGCTGCCTGAAAGCCAGCCTCCTAGCAGTGGTCTGCAATGTATGGTCGCTTCCTTATCTAGGAAGTATACACCGCTTACAATGAGTGACACCTGAATCTCCACCTCTAGAGGGCACTGTGGAGCAGGGTGCTGGGTGCTACGGAAGCCCGTGTGGTGGGGCACCTGCTGCCTAGGCACACCAACCCATGGAGGCACCAGTATGTTAGCCTAGCCCGCACCAGAGGGAGGGCCGAGGCACCATGGGTACATGTGCCACCAGAGTGAAATAAATAAATGTCCCAGGACCTTTCTAAACAAGCTAGAGGTGCACAGCCCCAGACCCAACCAGAGTTACCAGGTAAACTATAGGATGCTCCAGTTACATTTGAATTTCATATATACAAGTCATTGTTTTTTTGTTCAATAGGAAAAGTTGAACCTAGTAACTTCACACCGAGCTGCATTCCCAGATGATATTTCACTTTTTATTTTGAGACAAAGTCTCTCCAAGTTGCCCTGGCTAAGCTCAAACTTGAAGTCCTCTTGCCTCAGCCTTCCAGAGTGCTGGGATTATAAGCATATGCCACCATGCCCAGCTACAAGTGATTTTTAAATGTAAATATACTCCATACAATACTGGGAAAGCACAGTTAAAATTATTTGTATATTCAAAATTTAAATTTAAAAGAGGCAACCAATTTTTGTTATTCTTGTTCACTGTTTCTTTCTTTCTTTCTTTCTTTCTTTCTTTCTTTCTTTCTTTCTTTCTTTCTTTCCTTTGCTAAATCTGGCAACCCTAGGCTAAATTGTTGCCAGGTGTAGGCAGCGAAGGCACTGACCACCTGCCCTCGGTAACCAGGAAGGGAGGCAAGCTTTCTGTGGTAGGATTTTTGGAATTCACCTGACACCCAGCCCTAGATGAGGCGAGGAGACAACAAGGTGATTTGACTGCAACTCAGCACCTGCAGACACACAGGCTGCTGAGAACCATGCTCGAGTTAAACTATATTTTATTAATTGGTTTGTCTTCCCAAGTCTGGGACACATTTCCCAGAATGCTGTGCATCCAGAGGGTCCTAGAAGTCACAGCCATCCACCCAGTCGCTCAGCTCCTTGCCCTGGCAATGATGCCTCCAGGTCTCCCTGAGGACAGAGAACAGGCAGAGAGACCATGTCAGCTGCAGCCCCGGGCACTGCTGAGAGAAGAGCAGGAAGGGGATGCAGGCTCTAAGCCAGGCAAGGGGAGAGGCTGGGAAGGGGGGACAAGCAAACTGAGCGAACAAGCAAGAAGCCTCTAGAGAAAAAAGAATGTAAAGGAAGAGAATGGCCCTAAAAAATCAATACCTGGCTTCTTTATATGCTCAGTTTGCTCACAAGTCATTGGCAAAGACCCAGAGGAGCCCGATGCTCAGGTATGAGGCTCTTTTCCCACACCCTTGTGTTTCGGTGACAGTGGTGCCACATAACATTTTGCAGTATACATAGCACCATGACATCCAACACCCATTTATCACCCCCCTTTCTGTCCCCAGCAGCCCTCTTACGTAGAATGGGAGATATTATGTTCTAGTTTTCCAAGTGAAAAACTCAGGCTGAGGTGCAAAATACTTACCCAAAGGCCACAAGTAGTAAATGACAGGACCGTGCCCACACCCAGCCATCCCTGGCTGCCAGTCTGGGTCCTTCCACTGTTGGTTCCTATTGTTCATAGGCTCTTTTAGGACCATTACCCTGTTCCAGCTCACAGCAGATATCTTGAGGTGATAATCAAGGCCATGGGTCCTGGGACCCAAGTTGCCAGGAGTCCCAAGTTCTAATACCTAATGTTCTCTGTAATGTGGAGGCCACGGAGCCCAAGGATCAAGAGTGCCCTAAAAGACCTCTATAAATCTGTCAACCAAGAGAGATCAACTGGCCTGTCAGCCCCTGCCACCAGACTGTAAGATCCGTGTGGGCGAAGATGGGTCTCGGCTCCTCCTGGAGCCTGGTACAGCTGCGTCCTCAGTGTCAGTGGATGCCATGAAGGAAGACAAGCCCTTCTTCCATCTTCTGGGACCATTTTCTGTGCTAGTCAAAGCCACCTCCTCTCAGGGGTTCTCATGCCGTGAATTTATATAAATTTCCCAGTGTAGAAAAGAGAGCTATTTTTTTAAACCCATAAGGGCAAATTTCTTCTATCCCAGCGTGGTGGCCCCCAGTCCTCAAGCCCTTGGTTCAGTGCTGAGCCTGCATTCTCCCCTCCCAATTTTATTTTTATGTATTTTATTAGTGCATTTTAATTGTATAGAATATTGAGTTGCAGTGTGGTATTTTCATGCATGTGCATGTTTTGATTACATCCATCCCACCCTCCCTTGTATCTTCTTTCCCCTCCCTCTTATTTCCTTCCTTTTGTCTAATAATGATCTCCCTTTTACTTTCATATCTTACTATTTTTTTTCAAGATTCCATGTATTGGGGAAAACATGTAGTACTTGGCTTTCCAAGTCTGGCTTATTTCAATGAACATGACCTCCAGATCTATCCACTTTCCTTCCGATGACATAATTTCATTCTTCTTTAAGCTGAATCTTTCTTGAAGTCATGGACCATGCACTATGTCTTGCAGAGCCTTCTGACCCAGCCTTGGTGCCTTGGGCTTTTTACTGCTCTCACAGCAACACACATCCAGAGCTGTAGCCATTTCGGGACCCGTCTCCAAGCCTTCTCTAGATTCAGTCACCTGTACCTCCCTTCTCTCCCTCCTCATTCACATCTCAGCTGTCCCTATATCCTCCCAACAGTCCATCGTGCCCGACTCCTCTCATGTCCACCGCTTGTACACCTCTCCCTGAGACCCCTACAAAGATATCCCAGCAGATCTCCCCCAACCCTGCCTCTACTTTCTCCTCCTTCCTTGTATTCTTGGGCTGATATTCAATTGTCCCAAATTTTCTTCTCATTCTGTCACTTCTGTCCATGGTCCCGGTCCCCCAGCCCCCTGACACTGCGCCCGCCCTGATGTTTTCTAATCCAGAAATGTGAGTGTAAGTAAGGTTGGAAACTAGGAAACTCCCATCAAAGGAAGCTGGGCGGCTGTGGGACACCTGAGTCAGAGGCACCTGCGTGAACCAAACACCTCATGAAATGCTCATTTCACTCTCTTGCCAGCTTCATGGCCACCTCGTGGGGAGGAGATGGGAAAAAAGAAGGCTGACAATGGGGGAGCTCCAGAGCCCCACCTCTGCTTCAAGCAGAGAACCGCTTCTTTGATCTGTTATATATCTTGGACTTTATATAAAATTTAGTTTTTAGATGAAAGATACCATAGGTGATAAAAAAAAAATAATGAGCCTTCTTAGAACTTAGTCTAGACAACCTTTAAGCAGATATCACAGGACAGGCAACTCTTTGAGCAGCCAGGCTTAGCTGTGTAGCTGAGTGACCACCAGTCAATTGCTCATCCTTCCTGAAACCCTGTGCCATCAGTGGACACCTCAGTGGTGGTGATGCCCATCAGAGAGAGGACTCGTGAAGGATGAAGGCATGGAATGGTGCCTTGGGCAAAGTGGACGCTTGCTAAAGGCTAAGTTCCCTGCTGCTACCCTCCAGTCCTGTCCACACTTCTTTGGAGAGGGAGCTCCATTCCAAATTACTTACCAGTAGCCCAGACCCTGGGGCTCTTGGACAATCTTCATGGCACAGATAACAGTATCCTTGAGGTTAGGGTTCAGCAGGTCTGGGGTGAGAGGGAAACACAGTGAGGGAGCAACGGGCAGAGCTGGATGTCTAGAGTCCATCAATCTCTCTGCCTCTGTCTGTCTCTCTCCCTCTCTCCCTCTCCCTTTCCCTCTCTCCTCCTCTCTATCTCTACCTCTCCTCCTCCTCCTCCTCTTCCTCCTCCCTCCTTCTCTCCCCTCCCCATCTCTGGAAACACAGGGATTCTTCTATCCCTCTTCTCCCTCCACCTTATAGCCCTAAGGCCCATCTCCCAGCTGAGACGCCATGTATCAGACCCATGGAGCACCTACCCTCACCCTCATTGCATGTTGCTTATGTCTCCAAGGAGACCCCTCTCAGACACAAAGGCAGGGAGAACAAAATTAGCTGGGAAGAAGCCCACCCTGGTATAAGGCCCAACCCCAGCCAGCCCAAGATACAGGCCCATCCTACCAGAACAGTACACCCGGCACCGGTTGGAGGAATCCGGGATGAGATTTTTGCACCACTTCCGGCTGTTGATCTGGAAGATGCCATTGTTGGTGCTTCCGTCTGCCTCGTGGTCCACAGCACCTGTGTTGAAGCCACTTGTGAAGTAAGCAAGGCAGACCCCTGCAAGGGCAGACACAGGCCTGGTGTCACATGGCCGGGACACTGCAGACAAGACTAATCAGAGCACAGGTCCCATGTACCTCCTCGAGGTGATCAGGAAGATACCTTCCCACCTGCTTTACAAATGGATCAACCAAGGTTCAGAGAGTAAAGTGACTTCGCCAAGGTCACACACAGTTATCAGTCCAGACCAGACTGGACCTCAGGTCTCGCAACTCTTAGGCTGCAACCTTCCTCGTTTTCTCATTCCTCAGCACACAGTAGGGCCCAATGTGTGTGTCAAGTTAATTTATGAGATCTGTATCTTTAGAGGCAAGATTAGGAAGACATGGGTGGGATGTACAAAGGGGATGGGGGAAAATGAGTCCAGATGTGACTACATTTCACAGACAACTTCCCAAAGCTGCCACCAGCTTGAAAAGTTTGGTAGTACTCATTTGTTCAGTTTGCTTCCTACATTTCAGTAAGGGTATCTGCTCCTCGTGGCTGATTAAATTTACTGGAATAAGCTGGTCTGTCCCTTAGCAGGGGAAAATGAAGGAATGGTTCCAATTTGGCCCCTGTTGCCTGCCTACTGTGTGTCTAACTCAGAACTGGGCCTTCCCAACCTGTCATCTCATTTGACTCCTGGTTTTAAAATCTCAAAAAAGCTTCCCTTGAAGACCAAACCCCCTTGAACAAGGAGGAGGGAGTGGAGGGAGAGAGGAGTCAGAGGCCAGTAGCCAGCGAGGGAAAGGGGTTCTCACAGTCAGCCAGGCTATATCCCCGGTAGCCATCCAGGCCGAAGTCCCGGAGCACTCTGGCCAGCTCACAGCGACTGTAGACCTTGGCCTCACCGCAGGTGACCAGACAGCTGAGCAGAGAGGAGAGGACCAGCAACGTCATCACAGGTGGACACAGCCAACTTCTGGGAGCCCAGCTCCTTCTGGCTTCCATATGGGTGGCAGAGGTGGAGTCCAAGACACCCAGGCTCAGAGCGGAGCTTTGGGACGGAGGGCAGCTCACCAAACCTGGTCCTCCACTCACAGATAGCTACTCCTTGGAAGAAGAAGGGACAGGTATCTGAGTGTGCCTCTGGGAAAGGAGAAAGGGAATGGACAGAACAGTCCAACAGGGCACCGCAGCTCCCTTGCATCCCCCATGAAACACCAGCCATACTCCCTGAGACCCAGCCCCCTCCTTTCCAGTCCTACCCAACCTCACCATGGCCTAGCACCCTAGGAAAGAGGAAGGAAATGGGAAGGAAAACTCACAACTTGAGCTCCATACTGCACACTAGGCATTATTTAGGTCTGAGGCCCAAGATTTGATGAGTAAGAAGTGTCAAAGTTTGGACTGAGATCAAAGCTGATGTGAATCAAAGCCCCACTGGCATGTAGCCCTTAGCAGATATTCCAGACAGGATGGGCTAAGCAATGTCATTGGTATAAATCAACCTTTAAGCCCAACTGCCAACGGACCTCCTTTCTAGTGCTAAGCCTTGATCTCCAGACCTTAAGTGAGACAGGAGCTCCCAGGACACTGCCACCCTGGAGCTCTCTCACATGGAAAACACTCTTCCTCCTACACAGGGACCCCCGGAAGTACTGAAGGTGTCCAACCCACCACCCCTCTAAACCATCAGCTTGCAAAACCCCTCCTTCTTAGAAGCTCCCCATCCTGTCACTTCACCCTCCGTCCTCTCCCATGCCATTGAGGATGTTAGTTCTCGCTGACCTTAGCCTCAGGGTTCCTTCACCTCTCCAGGCCTCATGACCTTCGCCTCCACTCTGTCCCGTTACCCATTCCATGGCCTGTTGTCCCTGCATCTTTCATCACTTGATGTTTCCCCATCTTTGCAACCTTCCGTTCTCATCGGCCTCTGACCACCCTCTCCGACACATCTTTCCACCTCTTTTGCAATCTCTGTCCCCCACACCTGCTCTCCTTCTTCAGAGTCAAAACAAGAAACAGCTACACAACCTCAGAGGGGACGCCCCTGCTCTCCGATGCCCCCAACAAATCTCACTGAGGGTGACAATGCTAATGGCGTGGCTTTACAGTGGATTCGAAGCCCTTCTCTGTCCTTTAGTGCGTATCAGACTTTGGATACCCTCCAAGCCTCATTTTCTTCATCTATAAAGTGAGGACATTGATAACACCTGCCTCATCAGAGTGTTAAGGGAGTAAATGAGAAAAGGCATGGAAAGAACTTAGCTCTTCACATTAAAAATAGACTAGCTGTTATTTCTATGAACCAAAATGAGCACTGGTATTCATGCTGGTGTGTGGTCGGCGTTTTCCCATCTAACTCGAAGGGGATTCAGAACCCGCATTATTGTCCTGGAACACCAAGCTCCACTCTGCCCCACCCCATTGGCTTCCAGATGACCACCCCACCTCCCACTGCACTGAAAAAAGCAAGAGGATCACATGTGGAATTCAACCTCTTCCTGCCTTAGCCACCACCCCATTTGCAACTGATCCCTCCCCTCATGCACCCCCAGCACCAGCACCCCCAGGTTAGAGGGAGGCGCCTCCACACACATTCAGGCCCATCTTCCCTCCAGGCTCCAGATTTCAGCCAGTGCTCCTCCCCTAGCCTCACCAGGACCTCGTCTCCGTCTGCTCCTCCTTGCCCTGTGTGGGTACCGTGTTTGGTTAAGCCTCCAGCTGTTACACACCTTCCTTTATTACCCTTACCTATGCTAACCTAGCTCTTGCCCACTCTTCGAATCCAAACTTCTAGGGGGAAAAAAAATCATTGCTCCCTCACCTCCCAATTTCAAGGACATTGACTTCCTTACCATCACTACTAGCCTAAAACTGCTCTTTCCCAGCCAGTGGATCCCAGCAAATCCCATTGTATAGGGGTCCTCAGCACCACTTCACACTACTGACCACTACCCTGTTGAAACCTTTGTCTCTCTTGGTTCCCAGGATGCTCCCTTTGCCCAGGCTCCCTCCTCCTGCTCTGGCTTTCTTATTCTCCTTTGCGGGTTCTGCTTCCACCCAGGCTTTAAATGCTAAGATGCTTTCCTGGCCTTCCTACCTTGGACCCCAATCTCTCCCACTTCAGCAGACTCTCCACTATTAACCTGCCCTGATTTTCTTTCCCTGCGACCTCAGAGGCAAATGACTCCCCTCCAACTTGGATACCCCACAGTCACCTCAAACTAAGACATCTAAAATAGAACTACTGCTTCCCCAGACCTGCTCTTCCTTGTGTTTCTCTCTCTTGGTTTACGCTATGGCCACCCACTTGTCCAAACTAAAAATGGAGCTGTTCCTCTCTGCTTCTCCTTCTTCATTACACATCCTTCACCCATTCCCTGACTGATCGATCCAAGTCCTGGTGACTCTCCAAGAGCACTGCTTTTTTCTCAAGTTCAAACCACCATCCTGGCTTCCTTATGAAAGTTCCTCGTTTCCAGCTTTAACCCCTCCTCCAAACTCTTCTGCACACATGCAGAGTGAATTTTGTAAATACCAAGCCCAGCCACGTGACACTCCTCACGAGATCCTACCCTCACTTAAGCATGGGCACCAAGGTCCTTGGGGATTCAGCCCTGCCAGCCTCTCTTCACGCAGACTTTCAATCCCAGAAATGCTAGATTGCCCACTCAGAACAACCTTGCTGTCTACAGTGGTGGCCCTTTCCTTGCCTCCACACTGTTAACTTTTACTCAGACTTTAAGGGTTACAATAGGGCTGAGTTCTCCAGAGAGAGTCTCCTGGTGGACCAGCGTCCCCCCTCTCCCACAGCCCCCTGTTCTTCTACCCTTCCTTTGTTCTGTGGACATTAGCCTATTTCATCTCTAAGCTTCTGCTGAAGAACAGCAGCCTGGGCTAACTTATCCTCATGTCCTGAGAGTCAGCCAGAGCTGCAGGTATAATTTGATTGCTCACTGGATGTGTCTGAAATGAGAATACACTGGAGTCGCAACCACAACGTTAGGAGTCCTTCTCATCAAAGTGTGTGGAGTAGGAAGGAGGGGAACAATCACCCATGCTGAGCCCTTCAGATCTGTTAGACACTGGATCAGGCCTTTTCTGGATATTTTCTAACTTAATCTTATCTAATCCTCTTACAATTCAAGGGCAATAGGCTTAATAGCCTAATTTATAGATGAGGAAACCAAGCTCCCTGCTACACAGTGAGTGGTTTTGATTTCGGTACAGTACAGCGACCTAAGGGTGAATCCACCCTGAGCATTACACAGCAGGTACAGAGGTTTGAGGAGTCAGACCTGGGGGACTCAGAGACCACAGACCTGCGAGCAGCCATCCTCTCCCCAGCCCTCCAGGCCAGAATCCCCCACCTCTGACCAACACCTGCTTTCACTGTGTACCTCTCGAGCCAGCCCAAGCCAGGTTAACAGCTCTAGGATGAGGGCACAGGGACCTCAATGATCAAGGGTCCTCCCCACAAGAGCTGAGGTGGTGATGACAACAACAGCCGCAGCCGTGACCCAAATCTCTGCTTCAGCTCAGGACGTCCCTGAAATACTGCTGGGTACCAGGATACAGGCGGTAAGAGGACAGTGGGGGAGGCAGGCTCCAGACTGACCTAAGCCTTCTAGAACTCCCCAGCTCTGTGAGCTCAACTTCTGGAACCCATCCCACTCTCTGAGCTCTGAGCAGCCCACCTGACCCCCTCAATTTCAAGGTTCAAAGGCATGTTAGGGGTGTACACTCCTGACCTTTCTTGCCTACTGCTGCTTGTGTGTGCACACACACACACACACACTCACACACACACACGGTACTTTACTTTGAGGGATGACTACCCTCCCAACAGATCCAGGCATGATGGCAGGTGCCTCCAAGTTGCCCATCTCACCACTGGACTCCTTTGCCTGGCAGAAAGCTCCTCCCCTTCCTTAATGCTAAGCCACACATTCCCTCCATCCGGTTGGTGACTGCTCGGTCTGGCTGCACAAGCTGGGGTCCCAGTTATGCCGCTGACTCTAAAGCTTGAGGGACAGGGAAATGAAGTGACAGGACTTGTGGTACCCAGCTCTGTGTCCCATGGGAGCCCCATGGTTTGAAAACCACACAACTCGGCAGCTAGGGCACGGGCTTTGGGGTCAGGCTCACCTACTGGAGGGGCAAGCTCTCGAGAACACCAGCTGCGTGGCCCAGAGAAAGTGGCTAAACCTCTCTGCTTCCTAATTCCTGAAGTGGGGATGACGTTATCTACCTCATGGTAGATTAAGAGAGCTCAACAAAGCATCTATAAAGTGCTTAGTCCTCAGGGATGGGAAATCAGTAAATAGAAGCAACTGCTACTAAAAGCAGAGCGGAGCACAGCCATACACATGTTTAGTAGCAGCCTGTCTTCTTGGCCCAGCCCAGGCCAACCAAGCAACCAAGTCAGAAGCGAGTACCAGTATCTTTTATTTTCCTTTTTGTAAAGTTGCAAATATATATATAATTTCAAAATAGAGTGGTTATGTTTCAGTGGTAATTTTTTCAGTGTGATAACACTTAACAAGAAATCTGCCCTCTTCACAGATTTTTAAGTGCACACCTGATTATTGACGATAAGTACACCATTGTGCAGCTGATCTCTAAGCTCATTTGTCTTCCTTGACTAAACCTTTCTGTTTGTTAATTGGTAATTCCCCGTGTCCCCACTCCCTTGGCTCCTTGTAATCATCATTCCACTCTTAGATCATAGGATCCATAGGAGTCTGACTCCTCCAGTTACCTAGTAAGTGCTATCATTTATCTTTCTGTGCTTGCTTGTTTCACTCAGGGAAGTCTCCACCAGGCCTGCCGCTGGATGGATGGTTAACTCATGTTTGCTTTATCCACTCTTTCTTCCAGGCGGATATTCAGGCTGTTTTCATATCGTGGTCATTGTAAAACATGCTACAGTGAACATGAAGTGTAGATATCTCTCCAAAATCATCATTTCATTTACTTTGAATAAATACCCACAAGTGGGATAGCTGAGTTGTATGGTAATTCTTTTTTTTTTTTTTAAGAAATCTTCATATTGTTTTCCCAAAGAAGCTATATCATTTTGCCTTCATGCCAACAGTACACAAGGATTCTAATTTTTCCAAATACTCACCCACATTTATGGCCTTCTGTTTTCCAGTAAAAGCCATTCTGACAGGTGTAAGGTGATGTTTCGTTGTGGTTTTGCTCTGAACTCCCTTGGTGACCAATAACACTGAACATTTTTTTTCAGATACCTGTTGACCATTTGTATATTTCCTTTGGAAAAAAATGGGCATCAGTATTTCTTAAAAGCTCCCCAGAGCTAGGTGTGGTAGTGCACACCGGTACTCTCAGCACAGAAGGCTGAGCCAGGAGGATCAACGCAAGTTCAAGACCATGTAGTAAACTCAAGGCCAGGCTTCACTACAGAGTGAAAACAAAAAACTTAAAAAAAAAAAAATGTTTGCATTCAGGCTTGAGTGTTTATTTAGGGGTAAGTTCCCCGGAGCTTCATGGTACAAAACCTGAGTTTCAGGTCTTGTTTTGGCCCTTCTTGAAAGACTATTTAGTCTTCATGAATTAACCTGCATTTCCTCTCCGTTACAGTGGAGCCATTACTCTGCCCGCCTACTGTAAACTTGACCCTGCACTCCAACTCCCCAAACCTGCCCCCCCCTCCTGAGGTGGTGGTGACACTCAGATTCCTCAAACTCACCAGGATGCCTACCATGTGGCTTGGTACATTCTAGCTATTGTTTTTATCACGTGGCCCTTGGTGGTGATTCTATCTGGTTGAGTTGTTTTGGGTTTTACTGCATTGGTCTGCTTTTACTATTCTATCACTTCCTTTTATTGAGTAATCTTTCAGTTTATTTTATTTTATCGTGTGTTTTGTTATTTCCTGGTTGACTTCTCCTTTTAAATGGGAGAAAAGAAACAACAGCTCAAAAGGAATAGGTTATGAGGGCAGACAAGGCCCCAGAGAGGGCTTGAGGTCTTTATTTCTCCACTGAGCTCCACACACGTCCTTCCTGCTTTGGCAAAGCAAGTTCATATTCCTAGCAGAAATCCTCTGCTGGCTCCCTCCAAGTTCATGCTTGCTGATAGCCTTTCTTACCTTTCTGGTCCTCAGCCCCAGTAGCAATTTTATAAATAATCAACTCCTGGACTCCTCCCTGGGCCAATGACATCCAAATCCCTGGGAGTGGAGCCTAACCCTCTGCATTTCTGTTAGCTCCCCCACCACTCCAAAACACTCCTGGACTGAGAACCACTTTTCCAACCTAACTTGTTATAGTTCCCTAAGTGTGTGACAGTATGTCACACCCCTGCCTTATATACTATTGTATATGTCAAATCCATGCTTTCCATCCTAACTCCCTGGCTAGCTTCTAGTTCTCCTTAAAGAACCTCTGCAGCTTGGATTCTTCTCTTGGACTCCTTGGGCTGCCCTAGGACTCTCCAATACTCTTGTACAGAATCCTGTACTAGTTTAGAACCTCAGCATCTATAACACTCTACCAGTATCTTTCTTTTCACCACCATTCCCACCAGATTAGCAGATGCTTGACAGATATCTCATGGCTGTTTTCCTAGTGTGGAGAACAAAAATTTAAAAATGGTGAGTGAATAAAATATAAAGAGATGAATGAAAATCACCTCATGAGCTGGTTCAGAAGAAAACCCAGGAGACTTAGTCAGGAGAACACAGAGGCTGGCCCCAAAGAGTGTTCCAGACTCCCCATAGATGATGGAAAAATCCATCCCCCTCTGGCTATAGGTAGAGAAAGCCTAGACCTCCAAGATAAAGAACCTCAGTCAACCCCTCCAAACTTAGTGCACTGAGAATAGAATGGACTTCTCCAGGAGTTTCTCCTTGTCCTTTTCATCAGTGGTCTGGATGTAAGGCCATAATCATGACACTACTGTCAGGAGGACTAAGGTATTAAAATAGTGACTTACCCACCTGGGCATGGTAGCACACACCTAGCATCCCAGTACTCTGGGAGGCTGAGGTTTGAAGATTACAAGTTTGAATCCAGTTTGGGCAATTTAGGGTGCTCTTGTCTCAAAAACTAAAAAAAATATTGCAAAAATATTGGGGATGTCACACAGTATGAAGGCCCTGGTTTTAATTCTCACAGAAAGAGAAGGAAGGAAGGAAGGAACAAAGGAAGGGAGGGAGGGAGGGAGAGACCATCTTGACATGACTACAGCCATCTTGATTGTAACCATCATTTTGCCCACCAGGTAACCCTGACAGGCATCACAAACTCTAAAGGACAAAGTCACTAAGATAGTCAGCTGTGTCTGCTGTGCCACCAACTGATGCCTGGACTACTTCTGAAGTGATACCAGATAAGTTAGTGGCTTTTGAGAAAGGCCAGACAAACTGTCTCCTGCTACCCACTATTATGTTAGCTCAGTATATAAAACCCTTCCTATTACCTTGGGATGCAGGGTTCCTCCTGTCTTGTTGCCATTCAAGGCATGTTTCGATCTGTGAGTCCCTAATAAGTTACACCTGGTGCAACCCGAGATCTGCCAGCTTCTTTCCTCTGTCTCTCTGTGTACCTTCTGCCTTTGGTAGCTGGTTCTTTCTTATACACTGGAACTGTGCTTTTCCAAAACACCTATTCTAAATAGTCTTCCTCCACCATTTTCTTTTAAGGTTGTGCCTCCTTCAACCTCCCAGGTTTCCCCTGTGTGATGGTTAATTTTATGCATCCACTCAACTGGACCACAGGATACTTAGTCATGCAGTACTCTGGGTGTTTCTGTGGGTATTTTGGATGAATTAACATTCAAATCAGTGAAATACGTAAAGCAGATTGCCCTCCACAGGCTGACTCTCCTCTGAGCAGGAGAGAATTCCTCTAACCTAACTGCCTTCCAACAGACATATTGGCATTTTTTTTTTCCTGTTTTTGGACTCAAATCGAATGTCAGACCCTTCTGACGAGCCTGCCAGCTTTCAGATAGGAACTACACCGGAGGCTCTCCTGGTTTTCAGACTTTCAGACTCAGTGGAACTAAGCCGTCATCTCCTGGGTCTTCAGCTGCCAACTCAGCCTGCAGCTCTATAATAAACCAATCCTCGCACCCTTCTCTCTCCCATCCTAGATGGATGGATGAATGGATAGAGAGATGGTAGCGATGGATGATAGATACATAGATAGATAGATTCTATCCTGTTTCCCTGGAGGTTCTTGATTGATAAAGCTTCATGTGAAGTTAGTAAAACACCATTTAACAATTGCTGGGTTCCTCAGTTCATGTTAGTTCCCTCCCTGACTGGAGCCTCTTCCCTCCTTGTGATCTGTGACTTCTGCAGCTCAGGGCAACAGGCTGGAAGCGTCTAGACCTGGGCTGCAGTCCCAGTTTCACAAAGTGTACCAGCTCTGTGACATTGGCAGGTTAGTTAGCCTTGCTGAGCCACAGCATCCTCACCTGTGGGATGAAAAGATTGGCCACCCAGGAGGTCACTGAGGGGATCGTGAGACAGATAGTACTTGGTCCTAAGCAGACATTCAATGAGAGATAGATTTCAATTATTGTTATGGGGCAGGGGGCACAGAAACTGTATTTTTAAGAACTACAT